CGGGGCAGGAACCAGCCGGGGGGAAGGCAAACGCGGTGCGTTCCTGCGCTGTTCCCGCTCTGTGCGTTGTCCTGCCGAGGCGGTTGGTGCCAAAACGCGGCTGATGTGGAGACGCGGGGTTTTAAAGAGCAAATAACGTCTCCTGCTTCAGAACAAGGACTGGGTGACTGCTAGGGGCTCGAGTTACTTGCGTCTTCGGGCAGAAGAGGTTAAAAAAGAGGGCTGGCAAGGTTTAGGAACTAGCTGTAGCTCAATGGAGCTTTAAATCAAGTTAACACTCTCGCAGCCCCTGGGGGATTTGAGTAATTTCCATAACGTGCAGCACGTTTTTTTGCCTCCCGATAGGAGCCATCAGTTATGTAAGCAAATTGGTTGCATCGTTATGCAGATGGGAAAATAATTTTAATCGCTTCCACAGAAAAGTGTGCTGTTCGTTTCACCTGGGAGTTCTTTTAACTCTGTGAGGGATAAACTGAACTGGGAATCGGCAGGTGACGACGCCAGGTACCAGCTCCGTTGAACACGGTGCCCATCTTCAAACAGCTAGAGCAGCCCATCCCCAAGCACAGGAATGAATTCCTACTTCTTAGCTAAAGGTCTCGACACTTACTGCTTGTGAATGTCACCAGAATATTCCATGGGAATATTACTGTGGTTTTATCGAGTCTTGTTATTCCCTATCAGTTCCCAGGACACATCCCACTGGCTCTGCAGGAGCAGCACAGGCATTTCTGAACAGAAGGCTTGTTTTATACCAGATAAAACAACTGAAGTTTGTATTTTGACTACATCTTGTCCCCTAGCACGAAGAGAATTTTAAGCGTCACAATGAAGTTGATACAAGCAACAACGGGCCATTTTCTCTTCACTTCTTTGTTTCTGTTCTAGTCCTTAGTCTGCAGATGGTCAGAAAGTGGCACCAGTTTTTCCAGCCCCGTCACACACAACAGCACAGGCTCTGAGGCCACTGACATTAGTGTTTATTTTTTATACTACTCATACTAGTCACTTTAGAAAAGAGTTACACAGAAGGGGTTAACACTGAAAACAGGTCAGACCTGGGATGTGCCAAAACACCCTTGCAAAGATGCAAGATGTGTCTGGAGAATGCGAAAGGGCAGACGTGTGAACCAGTAGTTGCTCTTATGTGGCTATATTTTAGCTAAGCTGAGGAGCATGGCATTAAGATTTTGGTAATTAAAGATTTGATTACGACACCAGGGACATTTAATTTTACTACTCCACTCACTAGCATCCATCAGACTTCTTCAGTGAATTGAGCACAAACCAGAGGCCTCGCCGCAGCCTCCACTCAAGTCTGTAGTTAAAGCTGGAAGCTGGCCATGTCCACAGCTGGGAGTTTCAGCCCAATTTATTCATGAGCAGTTGCTACACTATGTGCTACAGCATGGTGAAAAACTGAATAGTCTGACTGATTTCACACATTCTTAACCTCCTCATGCAGCATATCATACTCTAGATTCTTGTAGTAGTTACGAGATATTAAACTCTCCACGTCAGCTTTGCCACTTGCCTATCCTTCTGTATACCTAAATATATTAATTTCAGGGATCTGAATGGAATTAAATAATTTAATGACAATACTGACTCACAGATATTTTGAATATTTCGTATAAAGAATATAAAACGTTTATTAACATCTTAACAACTCATTCAAAATGATCCTCCCAGTCACTCTTTATAAAACATTGTAAAACTATCACTGTAAAACTTCCATTTTCAGCTTCTCACCCTCTGTTCCCAGTTTGAGTTAAGAAATTCTCAGAACTATCAATGCTTTGAAATAAAATTGTGGTAAGTCTTCCAAATAAAAGTGTCCGCACCTAACAAGTCTTATTTCCAAGAGCATACCTTGTAATGAGTGAAAACTGAAGGAAGATTTTTACAAAGGGCATTTCTCATGCATCTAACAACATATACTGAAGGAGCACAGCATTGCCTAGACCTGGCTACTGAGTGCAGCACAGGAAAGGGATTTTTTTGTACCTTTTTCTATCTCTGTCTGCAAAGAGGTAAGCATACATTTTACTTCCTGTATGAAAAACTAAATACATTTTAAAAATGGCTTAATCTCAAAGACAAAAATTCTTTCAGCTACTAAGAAGCAGTAATTTTTACCTGGGAAAAAGCAAAAATATGGAGATAGTCTACTTGAGTGGATGGCTGTGCAAAACTGCATTGTCTCTGTTACACTTAACTTTATTCTTTGGAACATTTTTTCATCTTCCCAGGCTTGTTTCCATTACACACTGGAGTTTTGTCCTGTTTAGCACATGGAATTTGTGTCACCAAAATAGTACTGAGAATGTTGCTTAAAAAACCTTTCTGGTGTTTTGATGCTCATCAAAATGGATCAGATTTCTATGGTATTTCACGTGGACACAGACAGTAGAAAAAAGTGAAATGACAGTAAAGCTTTTTAAATTGGCTACTGGTTTATCCTGGTGATTGGAAGAAACACCAGATGTACCAGTTGTAAAAAATTTCTGAGCAATGATTTGGATTTGGGGAGCTTGTTTTGCTTGTTAATATAAAACATGACTGAGATTGCACCATATGAGCTGAAGATGGTACTCAGGAGATGGAGCCAAAACATTGCATACATTTTACACAGTTCCAAGTTAAGCTAGAAGGTCAATTATTAACCTCTGTCTGAAAAATAAATGAACAACTGGATTTTTTTTTTTTCTGGGGATGATCTAAGTGAAAAATTCAAGGTTGCTAATAATGGAAAAAATAATGCTGTCTCTAGAATATCCCAAGCTTTGAAGCCATACAGATTACTAGAATTTTGTCCTTCTGTGTCTCTCACAGTATTAGCCACATCTGGTACTGCTTACAGAAATGTGGGATTTAGCTGAGGTTCAGATAGCCTCTAATTCCAAGGAAGATTAAGCTACAAAGACTCTTACAAAAAGTAATTACCACTAAATGACTTAGTTTCTTACTGTTGACTACATTGCCAATTGTACTTGGTTGAAGCCTTCCAAAACTGCTCCTGCCAATTATGCTGGAGTAGTTGGAAGGACATCAGTTTAGATTCCTCATCTGAAACCTGATCATTTCTTTATCCAGTCTTTTGGCTACCAGGAAACAAAAGCAGCAGAATGCTACTGGATTTGTCTGGGTGGATAAACTTTACAAATTGCAGAGCCATCTTGGTGTATACCAAGTGGTGGAACCTAAAGTCCATTTGAACTAGTGATAACTACAGTTCCAGAGAAATTCTGATGTTAAGGGGCTTTTAAAGAAATGCCATTTAATTGTTAGTATTGAATCTACCATTTTTTAAAAGGACAGCAGATGAGAGCCATGCAGAAGCACAATACCCCTATAAAAACACAAGAGCCTTTATCCTTGCATTTTTATGTACAGGTGCAGGAGGAAGTGATCTTGGTGATCACCAGATTCAATTCTCTCTTCCAGTAGCAACTCCCAGACAGACTGAATAAGCAGTGGTATCAAAGTCAGGACCTGACCCTGAAGTGGATCAGGACACTTAACAACTGCTGATCAGATTAATGACATCAGACTGATGGCATGAAATTTAAGACTAGAGTGGCAACCCTCCCCAAAAAATATAAACCTGACAGCCCTCCAAACCGTCCAGTCCTAAAATCATGATCACTTTCATGATTCAGATATAAAGGACATCTGCAATAATGCTGCTAGAACTGGGGAGAGACTCATACTGCCCAAAGAGAGAGGATTTTTCAAACACGGAGGGCTTATGAGGGCATCTTGACCATCACTTATGATGGAACAGCCTTAAAAAAACCCTATGAACTTCTACACCCAAGAGAGCAGAAATTTTCAGCACAGGAAGCTCCAATGGGGGAGGAGAGCAGGACCAAAAGAGCAGTGTTACTGGCATGTTTGGGAAGGCTGGCTCTGGAGACCTAAACTAACACTACAAAAGTGGGGAACTCAGGCAAGTATCAGCTTTGACAGAGGTCCCACAGATTTGCCACAAGAGTTTTCTGATATAAAATGCTTGGTCCTTACTCAGGCTGCAGATCAGTAGATGAAGTCTGACTAAAGTAATTCGTGCTCTGAATCTGATTCAGGATTTGCAGGTGAAAAAAAATAAAAGTTCCTGATGAATAAGGAATGCTAGAACTACCTTGCTAGAAGCTTCCATTTCATCATGCAATTTGCAAAAACTAAAAACTGGACAAAACCACTTCCCTCTAAGAGCACGATCAAGGAAGAAAGCAAGTTTTCCTTTTCAGTGAAAGTATGTGTATATACAAATGTGAAGCCATATACAAGTAATTAGCAAGAGACAACTAAACCTTCATCTGTGAGCAACTTGTGTAGACTCCCTCAGTTCTGTGAAGGAAGGTACTCTTAAGTCAGGCATGTCTCATGTGGTGTTTTTTCAAGTTATTTTACTTTCAGTGCTTTTCACTGTGCTTTTGGAGTAAGTAAATTCAGATCCAAGGTGCACAGAGATGGGACAATATTCTCTCAAGATACTGTGAGGAAGACAAAAGGAAACGTAGTACTTTGACAGACTATGAAGCAATGTGGAAAACATCTAATTCAACAACAGTACATACACTCAATCTGTGCACTTACACACTATCACCTGCTGGGAGAAGAAGAACTGTTTGTGCTGGATTCTTTGTGAAAGGTGAATGTACTGAGGCTGCAGCCTCCTCTTTATCTAATGATGCCATTACAAAATATCTATGTAAGCCAATGTGATAATCTATATAGTTTGGAAAAAATTTACTCTTTCTGTGCTACTACCTGTATTATCACCCAGCTGAGTATTTAAAAGCACAACTTGAGTTTGAAGCCTTAGTATAAATCAGTAAGGTACAATCTGAACATAGAGGGAACTGCCTTTATTAATTTGTATTATATTCAACAATGATTGCTTTAACCATTAAAAACCAAAGTAATCTTTACTAGTTAATGACTGCTGAAATAGCCAGACCTTCCCAGCCCACTTCATATTCTCCTGAAGCCATTTTAGAGCAGATGTAAGCTCCAAGCTGTAAACTTCTTCCATATTAACATTCATTGTCATGTGCTTAAGAAAAAGCTTCGGATCGGACAGACGAGCAGCCACGATTAGTCTCTCCGCTGCCGCTTGATAGTCACTGTTATTCTGAAGTGCCTGATTGTCACATCTGTAAGTGAATGTCACAAGTACAGCATTATGTACCATGCAGGCCCTGTGTCACTTGCCTGATGCTTTAAACTGGCAACAAGATCACAAAAACATTATTTTAATGTTTTGTGTTCACTTCATTTGCAATATATTAGGTTGATTTCTAGACAAACTTTAGCTGATTCTTCTGAAAAATTGAAAAGGTAGATAACTTCCTCTTTTTAACATATTCTACAGTAATGAAAAGTAATAGGATTTAGTGCTAAGCCTTTTCACAGTACATTTAATGAAGAAATGCTTAGCTCTGGCTGGGAAGCTCAGTAAAGGAATGGAAACTGTTTTATGAACTGGATATAGCAAAAATTAATGTACATGCTTGAATCCAAAAGGATTACTCATTTTTGGCATGGAATCACCTTTGGAATAAGGATGTGCGTAAGTGGCATGGCTATGTTTTTGCAGGAGCAGAACTTGCTCTTTACATAAACAAGCAAAGGCACATGAAAATGAGATAATAAACTTCTCATTTATCCAAAGAACAAAATCAGGAGATGCAGTCCTTGGGAAAAGTAGAGGGGAAGGAAGACAGAGTACTCAAGTCTGAGATGCCTCTGTTCATCCTGCTTAACAAATGTCACTTTTCTATGCAGTTTCATATTTTGATGCTGAGCCGGTCAATCCCAGAGAAAATGGGGTCTTGAGAAATAAATTATAGGTATAACCTAGCGACAGTGGTTAGTGGTTTATGGACAAAAGGAAAAGGCAACAATACACACTTTTATCTGAAGGTAGTAATTCTCACAGACAAGGGAACAAAAAATCTAACAAATTTAATATTGAGATATCCCCTATAAGGAGAATTAAGTAAAATGGCTTAATCAACTTTCTGAAAAGCTGCCAAGAAATGTTAAAAGTTGCTTTTTCAAAGTAGTAACATTTTGACTATGCCTTTCTACTCCACTGCTTAATCACAACACAAAAATTTATACATCCAGAGAACAAGCTATACTGTTTTTAAGATACAGTACACTCTTAGTGTGATAGACACATTCCATTGGGGAACACAGGCCAGTGTTGCTCTGGAACAATTACTTTTCTGCTACACACATGCAAAAAAATATTAACAAACTCCCAAACATTTACTGTTCTAAAACCAATTCAGAAACAGGGATTAAAAACAAGTTTTAAACCAAGCATTCTTCTTCCCAAGATCTATCATTAATGGAAAATAAGTTTTTTCATTAATTATATGATCACATGGATAAATACAATGAAAATGGCACACATCTGACAACAAACCTTTTCAGTATTATTTGAAGAGTCTGAGTAGTAGCCATTGGACTTTGAATATCACTGGCATTTGAAACAAGAAATATTTCAATTGCCAACAGCATCTCAACCTCAGATAGGTAAAATGGAATCTTCAAAAGTTTGTGATATAAATTTCCTTGCAGTGGTGGGTAGCAACCCAATGATAAAGCACCTGAGAGTAAATGTAGAAACATAAGGAATTAGGAATACCAATACTGAACAAAGATGTTTGCTCTGGTATGCAGCTAAGAATGTGGGAATAAATCCTTAAGTAGCTTGCTAACTGCCAAAATTCGAAGACAGAAGCAAACAATAAACAATGTGAGAAGATGGAGAGATGGCTCACCCTGTATAATCTTAGCTCAGAAGTGAGGAGCTGAAAACAATCACAGAGTCCTAGCTTTTAGCTTAAAGGAGCTTTCTTTTAGTTAGGATAAACTTCTTAGGCAGACCTCTCAAATCTGAAATATGAATAATTTTACCACAACAGCTCTAAACAAAAGTATTGTCATCTAATTGGCCTAGATGAAAAAGTGCAGATGATGCACTTTTAAACCATTTTATGGTTCACAGTTTTGAAATTCCAAAATGGAACACGAAAAATTAATTTAATCTGACTTACATTTATTTCATGCCAGGTAGTATGCCCTGATTAATGTTTTTAACTGTCAGCTTTTTCCCAGTAAATATTTTGGTTACAAATAAATTCCTGATAAGTGACACAGAAAGTACTGTTTTCTTCTTACAAAGTACACTTCTACCAACTTCTCTCCTTCATTCTGAGCTGTTATGGCATATTATCCAAAGAATGTAAGGAAAGGATGTTGTTTAAGAGGCAACTTACTTTTGTAATATGTCCTAGCTTTGGACCACAAAGAACTTCTTCCCAAAGCCGTGATTAATCCTCTAAGTAAAAAAAAATCAATAGCTATGTTTTTTGAAAGCATGAAGTCTACTGCAGAAGATGAGACCCCAAGGTTCTTGCTCTCAAAACAGGCACTTATCAGCTTGTTAAAAAGGCAGCTGTACTGAGAAACACCTACAGTATCTGAAATGAAATGAAGAATATTAACTGCTGAATTAAGTCAAATGCAGTTCTTAATTGAAGAATTGCTTTTCAATCAGTACTTAAATCAGGATTCTTGCTTCTGTCAGCAAAATGGAACAAGGTTGAGATAACTTACGATAATACCTAATTAAGTTTTTTTCCAGTTAGTTCATTCACATGAAAAAGAATTGCTAAGGTCCAAGTAATCATTTGCTGCCAAAAATAATCAGATCAGATAAAAATACAATTAATTGACAAAGTCTATAAAATACAACCTTCACTTGATCTCTCAGACTTCAAATTGGCACAAATAAAATCAACATGCTCTCTATTCTGAACTCTATTCTGAACTGTCCACTTCCTCTCAACTGTCCCCTTCTTGGCAGGACTGAGCAGCCTTGTATCCACCTCAGGCCTCAAATAACTAGGTCCTTTTAGGAGTCTCTAAGATCTTCCAACTAAGGTCTCTTAACATACCTTAAAGCACACACTGGCAACAGGACCAAGACCTACACACAGGAATCAGTTGAGGTTTCCTCTGTGGAGCCTTTAGTAATTTACACATCTCAGATTTAAGTGCACATTCAAATTTTGTCAGACAAATTGAGCCCAAAAGAGCACTCAGTTCTTAACATGACATGTAAAAGAAGCCTAATGTAGCTAATTCAGTTATAGAAAAAACAATGCATTAATCTGAATTTAGGATAAAATTAATTGTCCCAATTAGATTCCTGTTTTATCTTACTGTATAGACTATCTTTGATCCTTAAAAATGTTGTAGGTTTTTCCTGTTGCCCTGGCTATCTGAGCTAACTGACACTACTCTGGAAAAAATAAATGGGCTTGTCTAAAACCATCTTCTTCAATAAATTTCAGCTGGAAAGCAAACAAAAAGAACAGCACAGAATCATCTGTTGCATTTTTAGCTCTTAACACAGTACCTTCCTCTTTACTTACCAGAATGATTATGAAAACCTGGTAAGTTCTGCAGAACTTCAAACGCCTGCCTGTATAAATTCTTCCTCAAGTATTTGTGCACTAATGTACATAACAGATTATGTCGATTGAGGATGTCCATTTTATCACAGGGCCACAATGGTGAATTTGTGGTCCACTCTGATTCTGTGGCAAACAACAGTGCAGTGTTATTCCTATGAAATAGTAAGTGTATTTTCTAAGACACTGCTGGATGCTGAGACTTTTGGCCATTAGGAATATACTGTAAAATGCAGCAGAAAACAAACTCAGAATTTCACAAATAATGCAGTTCTGGTTATTAATAATTCATTCCTCATCATCAATACTTTTCAGATGGATTCCCTGAATCTTTATATTGTAAACAACCCTTTTAATTAAATATCACTGTAGTAAAATGGACTGACAGTGGCATATATAAATATTGTTTATAGAAATATTTACATATCTACTGCATATTGTGTGTATATAAATATATATATATCTATGTACATATATAGAATGGAATGGCAAATTTTAGATCCTCAACAAATTCTTGTTTATACTTCTGAATTTCTTCTCTTCAGGAGATCAGAATTCCAAAAAGCCAGTAATTATGCATTATTTTATTGCAGAAATATGGTACTATTCTAAAGCTATGTGGATACTGTGAGGGGTAAAGAACCACTACATTGAACAAAGCCTGAAATTCTTTTTAGACTGAATGTCACCTGGCTCAAAGGAAATCTACATGGGACAGGGTCACTTTCGAAGCTGCACCCCTCCCTCATTATGGTAGGCTTTTGAGTAGAAGTCGATGGCAGACTACCAAAAAAAAATTCAGTGTTAGTCATAATTTTTCTTATATATCTCAAGAAATGTAAACCCGTAAGATGGATCATGTTTAATTTTCTTGTCCCAGTATTAACTTTATTTAATAACACAGATCAGTTTGTAACTTTTAGCTGAAATCTACCATAGAGGGGGACTGTTCACATCTAAATCAAAACTCACTTTTTGTAAGACAAACTTACCTCTCAATACCCACGTTGCTCCATCCAAACTCCCAGTTTTCAGAAAAATTTCTGCAGCTTTATTAACAATTTGACATCTTGATGCTAAACTCTCTGCACCTATAAGTCCTTTCAAGACTGTGAAACGTATCTGTAGCTCATGCAATTTATCCAAAACCTTCCTTCCCTAGCATAAGGAGGACAGAAAGGGGGAAGGTCAGAGAAAGCAATTGTATCAGTCAACACAGAATATATTTACACAAAGTACAGCAAATTTAATTTGGTGATACAGATTTATAGGCACCAGTTTAGTTGTCGTAACAGAGTTGGGAAAAAAAAGCACAGTAAAATTTCTAAGGAGTAGTAAGGCTTTTTTTAACAGGTAGGCAAAAAACCCCCACCAACCTGCTGTTTAGCAGTTCCCAGTATACTATTCCCCATAGCATTATTTCTACTATGTAGAGTTCCTATACCGTATTTCGCATATAGTTTTAAATTTTTATTTGCTTGTTGTAGTATATTAATATTTTTACTCTTCTAATTCCATTCATCATTACACAACCTAGACAATCCTAAAAAGTTCATACAGAGATTTTCCAATTTGCAGCAAAACAATAATTGTTAAACTGAAACAATTAGTCCAGCATATGGCGAACAAAACATGGTTGGTTGTGCCCAGCAGGACAATAACCTGGAAAAAGCTGGGTCTAAGCATAAACTAGAGACAAAATACATAGTTAAGGAGGATCTGCATTTATTACATCCTTATAGCAAAATGATGGGCCACTAAGAAGTGGATCTTTATAGGAAGATGGAAAGTATGCAGCTAGAAGCACAAATGAGCTATAAAGGAAGGGCACCCAATTAAAATGCAGTTGTGGAATGAGATCCTTAATTGGACAAGAACCTCTGACCACTCCTCTGAAGTAATAAAAATTGGGTAAAAATAAACCACAGCAAGGCACTTCAAGAAAGGAAATAGTTGAAAAAGGTAGTGGATGAAATAGCTGCCAAAGGAGCACTGATGTACAAGTAATCCAGAAAGTAGTCTAGTACTGTTGGAAGAGCTGTCTCCATGGAAGACCTATTCACGTGTTTCAAATCTGCATGCTTTTCAAAGCCGTGTCTGTTTTATGAACTACCCTTAGTTCTTACAAAGAGCACTCTCTTCAGGACCAAGAAGCATACGTATTTTATTCCTGAGAGCCAGCAAGCATCAAAGCTATGCTTTGGAGAAAGCAAGACATGGGTGCAACAAGTGTGCTGAAACTTGATAGGGACCTGCTACAGACCATTCAACTCAACAAGCTGATGCTGAAAAATTAATGATTCATCAAAATGCATCTAGACTAAGCACCTCTTTTGAATGTCTCCTGGGACTTGGGTTGACCTTGGAAACAGACTGAGCAGTGCACAAGTTTTATGTAACAGAATTCCTGAACATTATCCCTTAAGAAACAATAGTACAAAAGACATTTTAGTCCTCTGTTGCAAACTAGAAAGGGTTCCCTGACAATAATTCACGCAAAAAACTCAAAGGCCAAAACAGGACAAGGAGAGTGTTTGCTTTGTTCATAAAAATACATACTGGAAATCACCTTGCACTGGATGATCCCAGTACACGTAAGTGTTCATTGTAAGGATCAGGCCCATTAACACAAAGGTAAATTCAGAATGTGATCACTGACCAAAATACACTTGTGGTTTATATAATTTCTTGTATCTTCACTGCTCATGTTGCATTGTATAGAAGATCCAGGTTGGCATACACTGCTTCCTTCCAGGAAGAAAAAGATTAATTTAACATTGAAATGGATCTTGCTGCAGTGAACCTAATTATCAATACTGCATGAGGCCTAAAGAGCGTAAGACATCTAGTGAAAGATCTAGTCTCTTACTCCTGGCCATCTGTAATATTTGAAAGCAAATAAAGGATTATAAAGGGTATTTATTTCTGAGGTCTGAGTCTTTGCAAGATTCACAGAACTCAGAATCCTAGATTTTATGGAAGACAAGCACTTCTAGCGACACTCTGGGGAATGAGCAGTTCACTGAGTGCAGTAGCAGCCTTTCCATGCTTGTCTTCTGTCTTCCTGGCCTCATCTATTCCATTTGAGGTCAGTTTTAGAAGCATCAGTGCAGGAAACGATCACTCAAACTCCTGTAAATATTCCTTCAGTTGGGAAGTTTCAGAATACAACATTGTTGCCAGAGTAAAGTGACATTTATGGGAAACAATACCATCAGCACCTTGCCCCAGAACCTCAGGAAGACCTCTCTCCTAATCCTGATGCATCCTTCATGAAGTCAAAGCTGAACCTGAACAATCAAGTTTCTAGGTTGCAAGACAAAGATATGACAGGATCCATAGAAGACTACTGCTCAGAAAGGCACAATAAAATAATTTGATCCATCAGGACAAAAGTGCTGAGACTGTGGGGAGGCAGGTGACACATCCAGCCATTCAACGAGAGAAACAGAGTTCAACACCTAGAAAAGAGATTACTTGTTCTTTTTCTTCCTATGGTCTAGTATACCTTTATCCACTGCAGTACTTTGTGATAAGAACACATTACACTTATCCCAGTCCTTCCAATGAAAATTCGGTCTCCTTCATTATGCTGTGAATTTTGTATTACTGAAAAGAAAAAGAACACAATGTTTTTTAAATTTTACATATAAATGCAGTTTTAAAGAAATTACACACTTGAAAAACACACTCACTGTGAAAATACTAACTATAATTTATGAAATATTTGCCATTAAAAGCAGCAATGTCCTGCTTGTAATGGCAAGAAGTAGGTTAAATGACTATAGTTTATTCAGACACCGTTTCTCAGCAATGTAATTCATCCATAAGATGCTCGGACCTGTAATGTCATAATTTAGTAACATCACTATTTTTACAGTAAACGTTACATTTTCTTGTACCATGAAGAAATGTTGGCAATTACAGAAATGTTGACTGATTACAATTTTTTCCAGCCATATTACACAACTGCTTCAGAAACACTGTTGGTATTCTAGAACAGTGTTCTCCAAAGTGGGTTTTGCACACTAAAATAATTTAATTTGGGATGAGAGTTCAAACATTTTTTTACTGATAGAGGCACCTATGAGTTTGGACACCACTGGTCTAGGGAAGACAGTCTAAATTCCAAGCCCCACCACAATTTCTGTCTGTGTCACAACTGGAATCTGTGATAGCTGTTTTATAATATGAAAGTTTACAGTCAAACAGGTCTTGTCACACATCTGGAATAAATATTCATCATGTTTTAGCAGTTAATACAAATTGAAAAAGATCTGAGTCATCCATTTTAAAATACATTAATATCCCACTTCATTGAATCAGTTTTCTGCAAACTTATTAGGAAGAATGATACAGATATATAAACAAAGTGGCATAGGGAGGAAAGGGGTAAGAAAACTGCCAGAACTATTATAAAACTAGGAGATGTTTTGTAGACTCAACCTTGCAGAAATTCTTGGTTCTTTGGAGAATGAAATAATTCTGACAATCCAAATTACTAAAATAAGAGATGCACAAATGACATACATGATATGAACTTGTTCAATGTGTTTTGAAAGATGCAGGTATATATAGCTCTAAAGATTATTTATGCTGTTGAGAATGTGACACTTCACATGACAATACTTGAATACTTTGTCTTGAGAAGAGGGCATTCTTACTAAAAGATCTGGTTTCTGTTCTTGATTTCACAAAGTTCAAATGTTCTTTCAGAACTTGTAAGCCTTTGACTGTAAGTGTAGGCCTTTTAGATTTTGCTTCTACTAGCAAATGGCTTCTATTGAGCATTTTATTTGACTGTATTCACACCTCAAGAAATTTTGAATATTGTTATACATAGAATTAACTAATATTCAGAAAACAGTATACAATTCTTTTTCCTCTTTTAAAAACTCTACAAAGAACAGAGATGAACAAAAAGCTTTTTTTACTGTATCTTAATTTTACCTGCATCAGCAAAATCACAAAAAGGAACTCCTGGTTTCTCTGTTTCAGAATCTCTGGCTAGTGTTTCAGCAATACATAAAGACAACCTCTGAACATCATCAAGATGTTCACATCCAGTTCTCACATTAACATACAAAGCTCCCAGCTTGGTCCAATCACTTTTTTCCTTGCAATGCTGCAGAGAAGGCAAAGGATAAATAAAAACAAACCTGCTTACAGACCACCAGACAGTATTTTAAATTTCAAGAGATACACCCAAGATAGAATTAAAGCAGAAAAAAGATGCAGATGAAACACTACAGACAAGAACTCTCATGTTCAATATAGCACAGTTACATATTGTCTAACTTCCATGGACTGTTGATCACTTTTATCCTCTCAATCCTTTTTCCATTTGTCATGACCCCAACTGGGGAAGCTAGAACTGGCATTCATCCAGCATTTTAGGGTTTTTTTTCACAGTGCATGCCAAATTGATGATGATTTTCTATAATTAATATTTTGCTTGTCAGATCACTTCACAACTCCTTTCAAGGAGTAAAAAATCAGTCCTGGTTCTTGTTCTCGTTCTGGTGAGGAAAGATGTACCACTACTGATTACAACAAAAAAAACATGTAAGGTATAATTGCTTAAAATTACAAAATCTTGGAATTAGATACAAAATCAAGATAAAAACTACAACTACATAAATTAAAATACTCGTATCACAGAAAAGCCAGTTTTTCCCTGCACAGTAGTCTTTCACAAACATGTCTTTGCATAAGAATGTGCAAATCATATTAATAATAATCTTAATCTATTTTAATTTTAAATTATGTAGAAATTGCTATTTCTTGCAGATTTAAAAGTCATGGTTTAAACATCCCAGAAGGCTTGGACAATGCATACACTGTACCTGTATTTCAGCCACTGCCAAGTTGAAGTCAAAAAGCCAGTTTTTTTCCATGTGTCTTTCCTGAAATCTTCCATAAGAAAAAAATATTAATACTTAATTTTAACACATCTTACTGAAATAAACTTTGCACTAGCAGAAGGTGATTAACAACTTGCCACATATGAACAAAAAACTGATGTGACTTTTCATCCTATTTATTACACAGTATGAAATCTGGACACTGAAAACCAGACATTACAATCATGCCAAGGGAAGTCAGTACATGCATTATGCAAATCACTGAGCAGAGAGATTTTCACAGAATATATTCCCGTATTCCCAAGCTCCACATCTAGATGACTTCTAAACACACCCAGGGATGGTGAAAGAGTTCTTCCTAATGTCTAGTCTAAACCTCCCCTGGTGCAGCTTGAGGCCATTTCCTCTTGTTCAGTTACCTATGAGAAAAGACCAGCACCTACCTCTTTACAACATCCTTTCAGGGAGCTGTTGAGGGTGATGAGGTCTCCCCTCAGCCTCATTTTCTTCAGACTAAATAGCCCCAGTTCCCTCAGCTGCTCATCATAAGGCTTGTTCTCAAGGCTCTTCACCAGCTTCACTGCCCTTGTCTTTCTTGTACCGAGGTGCCCAAAACTGGACACAGTATTTGAGGTGGGGCCTCATCAATACAGGCGGACGATCACCTCTCTGGTCCTGCCTACGACACTATTCCTAATACAGGCCAGGATTCCACTGGCCTTCTTGGCTACATGGGCACACTGCTGGCTCATATTCAGCTGCCTATCAATCAGAAGCCCCAGGTCCCTTTCTGCTGGGCCACTCTCCAGCCACTCTTCCCCAGGTCTGTAGCTCTGCATGGGGTTGTTACTGGCCCAAGTGCAGGACCCAGCAGTTGGCCGTGTTGAACTTCATACAATTGACCTTGGTCCATCAATCTAGTCTGTGATTGATGAAACACGAAAACTACTTCAGATTATAACTAATGCTTCTACTGCCTAGAAGGGCTGCTTACTGCAGAGTATGGTTTACTTACGCAGGCCTAAATAAATCATGTTTCTTATTCAACTGCAGTTGTACAAACTTGCAGCACAGCTGGGAAAGATTGTGAAATTATCATCGATATGGAAAAAACGAATCATAACTGTGGTCAGAATTGAAGTTTTGACTTAAAATCCCTTGATCTTTGAAGCATGGTAGATCGACAGCATTTTAAAATACAATTAGGCATGATATGATAGTATTTTAATAAAAACTACTAAATTTTCATTTTCTAATTGCCTTTTAAAGTTTTTACATATGTTTATAAAGATAGAACCTAAAGAAGGAACTAGACAGTTCATAATTATAAAATAGTTCCTTTAAATACATACCTGGATTTTATGTTCAAAACAATATTTACTTCCTGACTGGAAACTTGCAGCTGGTGAAGGAACTTAAGAACATGGTCAAAATGTTCAAACTCAAGGAACATACCAGCATCAATGAGCTGTAATACCAAGCAGGAGGAGGAAAAGTAAATACACAAAAAATAGTGATCACTTACGTATTTCCAGAAGCAAGGGGCAAAAAACTGGGAAAAACATGTTACTGAATCTTAGTCAAAAAATAAGGGATAGATGGAAACCTGTATGACCAGTTCAGTCAGTCACAATATAACTTAAAAAAAACAACACTGAAATAATATTAAAGTGATAAGTTTGAGTTTTAAAACAGGCAAGGTATTTCAGAAATCCCAACAAGTAGCAAGTAGTACAGTCAAACTCATACCTTACAAAAGGTACTAATTAATGTAGGCACAGCATCTCTCAGATTCCAAGTCGTCACATGCTCAAAGACTTTCAGAAGAACATCTACAGCTGGCTAATTTAGACAAAGAAACACAATCAGTTTTGCAACTTAGTTCAGTTAGAAAGCTTAACCATTTGTAAAATAGGAACTTTTTAACTGCTCTTTTTTTCCCCAAAGGCTTGTGTACCAAAGTAAAAAACCAAACCTATTATTCGTACTAAAAAATTTAAGAAACTAGGGATCAAATATTTGAAAAATGTTACAAGGTCACCTACCGGTGTTTTGATTTGTACAGTTACATTCAATATCTGAAATACTTCCTGCAACAAACAGTTCTTGAGCAAAGAAATGAGAAGATCATTCAGCACTTGAGCAGCAAAATCCACACCAGGAGTAATGTCTCGGTAGTATTTCACAAATATTTGGACTGAAAAAGCAATTAAATTAATATCACTTGGGAATCACTGATGCTATCTATTTAAACAAGTTATTTCCTTCAATTTTAAATGCAGTGTAACAACCCTTCATTATCCAGTTGATTCTGGGATAGGGAAATGGAGAAAAATGGGTGAAAGTGTCCAATCTGAACACAGTGTTAACCGTAAGAGACCCAGACTGATTATTCTGAAATATCTCATGTCATTGAGTTGAACACAATATGCTCTGTGGGTTTGAGAAAGTTTAACTGATTTGTGTCAGCACACGAAAAATGCACTAAACCAGGTCAGATGTGGCAAGTGCATCAAGGTAGTAAGGCATTTCCAGGCATGAATTTCTAGGAAGCAAAGTGCAGCATTGTCATGGTGGATGGCCCTCACAGATACATACTGTAAGCTGCTGGTACCCAGTGTGAACTGCACTACAATGCTCGGTATTTCAGCATGGGAACATGACCACATGGGGTGCAAGAGAATCCCACATTCACACTGTACTATGCTTTACTAAGTTTTAAAAACCTTAACACTCCTCAGGACAGATAAATAATGTAACGAATGTCCAGAGTAAAATTTAGCCCTTTCTGACAGAACTCAAAAGCTCAGATGAATCTGGATCAACTGTAGTCTCTAAAATGTGTTAATTGTCATTGTTTGCATATATGGTAACATGAAAGGACTGAACTACAGCTGTCTGGGGGCTGTAACAGCACTTCATTTCAAGAGCTTAAGTCTAAAGTTTTGGATTTGTGATGTTTATCCAGACTGTTCAAAAGTGCTTCAAGAAAATTTTGGTTCTTTTAAACCTTCCCTCTGCTCCAGTTGCTTAAGCCTAGTTCCATCCAGGCTAAATTCATTTTGCATGGCAGCAAGATTTATTAACAACCTCCTGAGATAACAGAATACCTAAAGACCTAGCTTCAGTGGAAAACTGGAACATGAAAACACATGGATTTGATGCATTCCTTCAAAATCAGAACTTCTTCTTCACTGTTGAAGTGGCCCCCATTTGTCTCCTGACAGCCTAGCTAATTTGCTTTAAATAAGCTAAGTATCAAAGATGCATAAAAAGCTACTACTATAGCATACCTGCACGTTTTAGAAGGCCTGATTCTTTGATATTAATGTATGTCCTAAGTATTGCCATGCAAATCTAGAAAAAAAGGAAAAAAATACACAGTAAAACGTTACCTCTGCTCTTGCCCAACAAAATAACTACCTACGAACATGAGTTTTGTAAGGAAACAAGCTTTACATTGCTTCTGCTTAACCTATACATACTGACAAATGGTATAAGAAGGTAATTGGGTCTGTAGGCAAAGTCACTGTCAAAAGGATAGCGAATAAAACAGAAAAATAATGTAGATTAAATGCTTGGGAAAAGAGCTGCTAGGACAACACCTGCATGCATGTGTGCATGTACTCACAGCAAACAAACAAAATTTGAAAATACAATTACTTCTGAACTACTGTAAGTGTAGCAGCCTGTAAACAGAGAAAGAGAAGCAAAAAGGTGAAAGTGAAAACATAGTGAACAAAAATTACATGAATGCACCAAGTAAAATATAAAAAATAATATAGAAATTAAGTTGATAACTATGATTGTCACAAACAACCCCTCATAAGAATACAGATGGAAAAACTCAGAACTAATATGATATGATGAACCATTTGATCCCAGGTGCACTTGAATTAAAAAAAAAAAAAATCCACACCTAGATGTTTTAAAATGTTATTTGGTACCAAAATATTCTTAACTTAACATCTTAAGCTGTCAGCTCTTTGATACATGTATGTTTTGCTACATCTTTGCAGATGATGAAATACAGACTACTGAGCCTAAACCCTAACATTCCAAGCTAGGGGAAAAACCACCCACCCTTTCAGATATCCTTTGTCACTTCTGGAACATTTTCAGTTTTTCTGTATAACAATATAAATGGGTCATATTGAATACTATTTTGTGAAATCAATAGTCATGCTGTCACAGAATTCAGTCAGGTTAATTTTTACATGCAACTTCAAAACTAGGCAGGATCCACTCTTGCCTCATTTTAGGAGTTGTTACATAGCAGATTAATTATCACGAAAGCAGAAGACACCAGCTTGTGGCCAAGACATCTTTGCTATCTTAAAACTATTAACCTGTTCAGACCATCAAGTCAAACAACACAAAAATTGTACATGTAAGTATGCTGAGTAAAGCTTATTGTTTTTTATTTTGAAATAGTGTTCATGTTGTTGTACTACAGTCTAAGATGTATCTTTCAGAAAACCACGTGGAATCTTTGATCATTAATAGATATGCAGTGTCATTTGGCAATTGGTTAACTAATTTAATCCAAATCTACAGTCCCAGGTGGCTGAGGGCATTTCCAAAACAAACTTTAGCACATGCTTACAGTATGTAAATTAGTTTGCTTTCTTTTGGAATCTGTTTTCCTCCTGCTTTGGACTGACTCCCAAAAAAGAGCCAGGATCGCATCTGGAGCTCTGACTGTTCCAAGTATTAGTGAAATTGCTTGGAAAATCCAGTTGTAGTAGTATTTAATCATGAGACATGTTGAATTACATTCATAAAACAGACTGTGTTCTTCATTTACAGCTTCTATGAGGCTTCAGTTGATTTGTTTCCCTTTATAAAAGGTTTAACTAAACCTGCAGGCTGTGTAAAAATGTGACAATCTAAATTTTTAGGTAATCATGATAAGACTTAGAATTAAGGCACAAGAAAGAGACAATTCCCATTTTCAAAAGGCAGCACAGACCACACTATTTTGTCACCTCAGTTGATTCCACAACTCATTTAACACAACAGTGTAATAAAAACCATAGCAACATGGCCATGTATTTTGTACAAGCCACTACCTGCCCAGTAAAACAGTTTTACTAACAGTAACACATAGGTGCTTAAATAAGAAGAACAAGCACCAGATTTTATTAAATTCTCCAGCATCTCCCACTGTGCACTCTGGTATTTATTAAGTGGGAAAACCCTCATGCTGCAGCCCTTTGCACAGTGAGATCAAAACCAGGATCTTTCTTACAAGAGATTCTGTTTATGGACACAGTGGCATCTTTGAGACACACGCTCCATACTAAATATTGCTGAAAATAACCAGCAGGTTAGAAAATTATTTAAAGGCAGTTAAGAGACAGTTACAAAAGGGAAGTGCAACTAAAAGTCTCATTTCTTTAGTAAGGCAGATTAAAAAAACCCTAACACAACAGAAGCATACACCCAAGGCCCTGAAGTTGCAAGACAACATTAATAAAAAAAATCAACTTCCTATTTTATACCATTTGTTTCTAGTTAAGAGGTACACAGGACTGAGGAAAAAGACAGCAGGAAGTCACAAAAAGTAAACACTTCTTTAGAGGATACAATGTGAGTCCAAAAAAGTTAATGAGTAAGGTGCACAAAACCAAGATAAAATCAGACAAATAAATGCAGCTTGCATAAACACATTTTCAAACCACTTATTTGTTGTAACTGTGCAATTATTATCTATCTTCTAGTTTGAAGTGTCATCCAAGCAAGTACTATATACCAAAGTATTTTGGTAAATAAGCAGAATCATGTAACAGCAGAGGTTGGAAGGCATCTCTGTAAACCATCTAATCCAACTCTTCTGCTAAAAACAGGGTCAAATGGCTTAGGTTGCTCAGGACCATGACCAGTCAGATTCTGAGTGTCTTTGAGGATGGGGATTCCAAAACCTCCCTGGCCAACCTGTTCTAGTGTTTGACTGCCCTCACAGTAAAAAAAAATATTCTTCTTACACATAAACTGAATTTCCTGTAATTTTCCTTTATGCCCACTGTCTCTTGCCCTTTCACTAGGCATCACTGAGAAGTCTGGATTCATCAGATACTTCTACTCATCATAAAGATACACACTTTAAATACTTTGGGGAGCATTTAAAACAGTCTTAAATAGTTTTGTTCACTTTGCCTAATACAAAAGAGATTTCACTGTGTGAAATTAAAGGCAACTTAAAAAAAAACAAATCTGGTAACTTGTACAACTTGCTGAGTGTGCTGATTTTCAAAATCCATGATGTTTTTATTAATTACATCACTGGTGTTGTGTGATTAACCTCAACCGTGAAGAGTACTAAATCCTAGTAGGTTAAGACACATAAAGAATCCAAAAGTTATTTAATAAAAAAGGTTGGAATTTCTATTATGGGGAGAGGTATTTACTTCAGACGTTCTTGTAACAATCATCACTGAAAAGGCAATACTAAGCAAGTGGGCTAGCAGCCTGCATAACAGTTCCTAAAGAGATTTATTTCCCCTGTATTTGACTAGATGACTTTGTTGCTGCTTTACCTGTCTTCCATTTGTGTACTTTGGTGCCACCATGAGGTGCCTATCATAATTTTTAAATAGACAATTCATAGAATCACAGAATGATTTAGGTCAGGAGAGACCTTAAAGATCATCTAGTTCCAACCCCCCTGCATGAGCAGGGACATCTCCCACTAGACCAGCTTGCACAAAGCCTCATCCAGCCTGGCCTTGAACACTTCCAGGGATGGGGCATCCACAACGTCTCTAGTCAACCTGTTCCAATGTCTTATCACCTTCATAGTGAAGAATTACTTTGGAATGCCTAACCCTCCTTCACTTTGAAGTAACTTCTCTTCATGCTACTGCTACAAGCCCTTGTGAAAAAGTCCCTCCCCAGCCTTCCCATAGCCCCTTCAGGTACTGGAAGGCCACTATAAGGTCTCCTTTGAGCCTTCTCTTCTCCAGGATGAATGGCTCCAACTCTCTCAGCCTGTCTTCACAGGAGAGGTGCTCCAGCCCTCTGATTTTTGTGGCCCTCCTCTGGACTCATTACAAGAGCTCTATCTTCCAGATTACCAAGAAAGTCAAGCTATGTTTGCTAGGCAGAAGAGTAAGTGTGCTGAGTGCTACACCATTAGTATAATAAAATGAAATGGACTTTTAATAGTTTTAGGCAAATAATTTAATTTTCTGTTTGCTTTGGTTTTGTTTGTTTTTTTGTTTTTGAGACATAAAAAAGGAAAGAGGAAACATTAAGGAAAATAAAACCAAATTAAATTAATTTATTTTAAAAATTCTGTCTCAGTAAGGTATGAAGGAGATGGAAAAGCTCCCTTAGAAGCTACCTTTATTTTTTTTAGTATTTATGTCCAACAGGTTCACCAGTAGTTATTTTTCACATTTTCATATTTGATTTCTTACTTACTTTTCAGATATAAATGAACAAAGGAAATGTCATTTTGCAATGAAAAAGTGTTCACACTTAAAATTTGTTCCTTTCTTCAACAAATACCTTTACCTTTTCATCTCCTTGTTCAGGAACATGCCAAAACCAACATTTTGCTCTTTCACACCCACGCAAAGACATGAAATAAAATCTGCAGTATTTACGGGGCAATTCAATCATCTCGAGCATCTGCTGGACTGAATGAGAAACCTAAAATAAAATAAAACAAGCAGAAAAAACCCAACAGATAATATGTTTTGAAAGCAAACATGCTCTTTTTTTTCCGAGAATTTCAAAATACCTACAAATTATAAATAAAAACAAAACAAAAAGGTTACCTGCAATTAAACCTCTGGAACAACCTTCATCTCTCTACTGTATCTGCAAGCATTTCACAGCAGACCAGAATCAATCCTTTGTCATGTAATGTTAATGACTAACACAAAAAATGCACTTGTCTTGAAGACCACAAACAAAAAGAATGCAAGAACTGCTAAATGAGATGGACAATGAGTAGAGAGGAGGAAGAAAGGTGACAAACTCCTGCTATGGCTGCAGATAACAGTCTGAGAATGCTGAGGCATCAATTCCCTGTACTCTTTTTCAGTGCCCAGCATAATGGATAATGCAGTGTGTCTTAAACACATGAAAACTTGTCTGCTTTTCAGGTCTACAAAAACTATAAAGCAAAAAGCATTATTTGATTTTACTTAGCCTGGAAATAGAAATCAGCAAAGCTCCACTGTGAATAGCAGTCTTCTCATCATTGATTTTGTTCTCAGAAATTGTATTTACTTAGTGATAATATCTTTAGAGGAGTCAAAACACAAGCATACATAGATTAATGATTTCTGACTAGATACATGGAGAATTGTCAGAATAATCATAACAAAGTTAGTGCCAAAGGATCAGAAATCATTAAAGATTTAAGAACTCACAATTGTATTTTTTTCCATTGTCCATGGCTCAAGATCTCCGTAACTTTTCAATGGCAGTACTGGACTTTTTTCTGAAAATCTGCAATCTAAAAATTAGGATGAGGGCAATAAGTGGATCACGTAATAAAATGAATCATACTAAAACCACTCACATTTATCTTCTTTTGCTTTATATTTATAGTTCCTTCAAGTAACAGCATTGATTAATGAAAATGTTATTAATACAATCTAAAGCCAGTCATTTAAGTTAGTTTGTTAATTATCCTAAAACTGAGACTTTACACAAACTTCAAGAGTAAGCACATTTAAATTAAAAACTTCACTGCTTTATCCAAGGTTTCTAATCTAACTTAGATAAGAAAAGAATTAGAATAAAAATATCAAGAAGTTTTAATGTTAAAAGGAAAAAAACCCAACACCTTATCAGTAATCTTTGCATACCCACATCACCAGCCATACATTTAAACTATTTTTCCTGAACTGAAGCAAAACCTTTCATATGTTTTAAGCAGTGCAGTATCAAGCTTAAGCCCAATGTTAAGTTACTGGTTTCTTAACCATGAAACTTGGTTTTAGAACTGTCATTATTATAACAATTTTTTTTTTCTCTGTAAAAAATGAATAATGTTAATGGCAGATGAAAGTTTAAATTTTCAACTCTGTATCTAAAGAGACATAAGAACTTCTGAATGCCTTGCTTTCTAGAGTTTCCATCTGGCCCCTTGAAAGAAGCAGGCATCCAAAAGGCAGGGTGCTTAGCCCTTTCTGACAAACTCTACTTACTGAAGAGCATCCAATAATGATGCATGCTCTTATAGAGGCTTGCACTAGGTACACAGTTCTTAATCTGCATGTCTTTCTGAACAGACAGGACTATCACAATAGGAAGGAGAAATATAATGTGGAACAATTCAATATCTGAATGTTACATACTGTAACAGGTGCATGATTTTGTGCAGTGATGGTAGACAATTTGGTGAATTCAGGATTGGATAAATTTAGTGGCAGGAAAAAGACTGAAAAAATGGTCAACCAGTAGCTGAAGAAAAATATTCTTGGGAACTTGAGCTCAGAAGTTTTTCCTCCAGATTCTTGCTGTCCCCACAGCATAGATTTTCTGACCAGGTCCTTTCAAGAGTTTGTAGTCTCCCTGTCAACTGTATGTTAAACTAGTAGGGGAGTGGACCGGGCACTAAAGTTAAATGGCCAATCCTGCCTGCACAGCTCTGGGGAAATAGAGACTGTTCTGCCCTTTCTTAACACAGAAACTCTTGCTTTGGCAACATCTTCACATTATTTTATGAAGACTGAGAAGAACTCAGAAGGTGTACACACTGTAAGAGCAAAAGACATAAGCAATTTCAAACTACTGTAGTCTAGAGACATATTTCACAGTTGCTTTTAATAGCACTTATGTTTCTTGCACTTCCTGAAAATATTGTTAAATGACATAATGATAAAATCATTCTACAAGCTCACACTGACTGTATAATTTGACTAAGCACTAATGACTGTCACTAATATCAACAGAGGAAATCCATGTTTATGAACTTCTGTATTAACCACTAATTCTAAAAACACTGATTTCCAAAACAGCTGTTGAAAAGAAACAGAATGCAGTATCTATCCATAAGCAGTAAATTCCCCTTTCTCTCTATCTTGTCCATTGAGTAAAACCATGTGTTTATGTAAGCCTAAATGTCAGAGTTAACTGCATAGAAAAAGAGAAGGAAACTGACTACAGTTCCATTACATGATGATTTCTCTGGTGGCAGAGACACTTAGGAGGTACCTGTCCCAGTAGTGAAATATACCAGGTCAAAATGAAATTCTGCTTTTTCAATCTAGACCATTTCCTTGATCTAGTCTAGTGACTGCCTCACAAACATTTGAATTGGCATAAACAAGAGAGTTCTGACCTCTGGCAAGGTGGGCAAATTCCTTGGCCATGTTTTGCCACAGATTACAACCAACCAAGAAAACCTGCAGTCACGTTCTCTGACTGCAAATTAAGAAAAACAAGTTACCAATAACATGGCTCAAACATTATGTGTCAAAATACTAAGAACGCAGGCACTTCTGTACCACTGAAGTATCCAATAACCATAAATACCAAGACAGAATGACTGCTGTTTGACCCTACCAAATAGGATTCTACTAAAAAACCCCACTAATCTAGTGTATGAGCAATTGCATTTTTGGTTCTGTGTATGCAAACTAAAAGCAATTCCAGGCAAAGTCTTCAGGAATTTAAGAAATTCTTAAGAAATTCCTTATGATTTTATAGGTAAATAAAACACAGTTAAAAAAAATAATGAATTCTACAGGGTTCACCAGTACAGCATACAATACCATTTGTCTGGGTTTTCATCTGTGTAGCTTCACCGAGGACATCTATTTTTGGGGCATGCAGTGGCGATCCTGACAGCAATTCACAGTTCTCAAGATCTCTGTATTTACAATCACTGTTGAACATTTTAAAAAAAACAACCAAACAAAAAATCTGTTTAGCCAAATTAAACAGGTGCTTCTCCCATATACGTAACATCTCAAAAGGAGGGTTTAGCGTATAAAAGATTTAAATTTCTTCAACAATTAACACAACACTTATAAACTTGCAAATTTAAATAGCTACAAGTCAAAACAACTTTTACTTTCATTACTCCCATGGCATAATCTAATCTGGTAATGATCTCAGCTGAAATTATTCTGTACTAAAGTGTAACTATATGAAATTCAATAAATAAGTAGAAAAGGCACCTGTGAACCACTTCTTTTTATTTTCATCATTCTGACAGCAAGACAGATTATTTCTGTCACCTCTGAAGAAACATCTACTTTTCAGTAGTCTATTATGTAGTATCTGTCAAAGACGTAATCCACAAAGCCTTTGAAATGACATCTGAAGACCCAACTCTTTTCTTTCTTAATAACTGGCTACTCAGCAGAAGATTCAGGTGATTTCAAAGAGAATTCCAATTGAAGAGTGTTCTGCTCTTAACTATTCCCAAATATGTATGCCCCAGATGATTAAACTCCTAAATGCGATGTTTTCCAAAATAACCTTCAAATATTGCTAGCAAAATACTTAGTGATTTCTTTCTTACTTGTAAATAAAGTTACAGAAAAAAAACACCCTTTCATGAGATGTTCCTCACTTCTTCCTTTCAATTGAGAATCTAGGTTCACTACAAAGGACATTTTAAACTGCTTCCAGTTTGGAGACAGAAAGAGATTTGTTATCCCCTATGAGAGGGACATTCTAGCTATTTAATACTTCTCATAGTTAAGGTAATTCAAATATTTCCTAAATGGCACAGTTTTTAATACAGTTTGAAATAAAAAATGCTATGGCAGGGAAGAATAAATTCTAACATACTCAAATGCTTCAATATCAGTATTTCTTTTATTCTAGTTAATGTACTGTATGGTATCCAGAGGAAAAAAATTCTGCATATCTAGTTACTTAAGATTTTCAAGTATTCATGTAATTTTTTTTAATGCTTGTGATGCTAGCCTCAGATCTGACAACAGGATTTCCATAGCAGCTTACCTTCAGGATAACACTCTCAGCACTCTTTTTAATCTAGACAAGAAATTACCCAAAATTTTGCCAGGAATTGTAAACTATATAGCTATAACAAATTTCTTTTTTACAGAACAAGCATCTCGAGAAGTAGAGTTTGCTAAATCAGTAACTATGTTTTCTTCTAGATGAAGCTTTGCAATAGTAACATTTTTGAGTAAAACTAGAGAAAACAGTTTGACTCCAAGTGAAGGAGTAAATGCCTCTTCTCTAACTGCAGAGTACTGCATTTCAACTATGGAATGAAGTAATGCAGTATCACTTGCAAAAACATTTTATTCAGCATAATCAACTTATTCTACAGCATAAAGAACTATTTGTGCTACTAAGGTAAATTTAAATGGGTATTTTACCAGGAGGAGCTTGGAGCTCTCTAGTGGATTAATGAAAAGATGCAATATTCTCCATTTAATGAATTTCTGGTACACTTCAAGCCTGTCACAGAAATGTGACTAGTGCTAGAAAAAAGCAATACCCTCTTCTATGCTAGCTAAGGTTTCTTGATTGTTGTGAAAATGACTCTGAAATATCTGTTATTTCTCTTCTAATTACTGAAGTATTCCATCAATTAAGTATAGTTTTTCTACAAAGTCTTATTCTGCTTAATTTTGGGGAAGATACTGAATGGAAGTTTCTTAGTCTGACACTGTAAGTCATATGTACAATAAACACTGCAAGCACAGCAGAACAGTAAAGCATGTGCTTAACTTCACATGCCATGTTTTTAAGCTCCTTTTTCTACTGCTATTCAAATATATGTCAAACTGAATTTGAATGAGATCTTTCAGTTCTTTCATCAGTTTAGAAAGTTCCAAAAGGCAGAAAAGAAAGCTGAAAGTTTGAGTTTTATTATTTTTTTTAATAATTTAAGCTCTGTAAGTGCTGTTGTGGCTAGAAATGTATCTTATGCTATAGTCACATTGAGATGCCAAGGTGAGACACTGGTATGAAGCAGATATATTTCATCACTAGCTAGATGACCAAGTAATTTCTATTGTCCTGCCAGTCTATGACTATACTTGTCTTAAACTTCACACAGTGAAATTATATTATTTCACACATTGATTTTGTTCATTGTATAGTCACAATAACATTGAAAATTGAAGGAAAATGTTGATAGTGTTTAAGTAAAAACATCACAAACATCACAGGTTACACAAAGGACACAGTATATATACCTGTTTTCAGCTTCATCCTTTTTTTCTTGCTCAACATCAGGCATACCATCTGCAAAGGTGAACTGTAAGATATTTAAAATGTACTTTCAGACAGAGCAAAGCACTGTTAAGTCTGTTATGCTCTACACTACATACTTAGAACTGTTAGCAATCATTGGAAGGTGTGATAATACAGTCTTGACTGTAAAATCTGTAATGTGGACTGTAGGGTTACTCTTACACCATTTTTATTATGCACACACTGCCATTAGGCTCTGTGATGTTCAAAATAGTTATCTTTAATTGGAAAAAAGGTGACATGATAGTCTGCACTTCTCTTCACTCACACTTATAATACCAGCAACTTTTAGGCCCACTGTACAATTTCAACTGCACCTGACAGATGTGTAGAAACTACAAAAGACATTCCATCAAGTGCAATGAAAATTTAAAGCTGTATTGAGGAGAAAGCTAAGGCTTTTGCTCAGCTGTGCACCATCGTGCACAAGTAGGAAATCCCCAAAGGAGAAAAGAGACAGCACCTAAAATATTTAGGGGTGGGAATCTGAAATAACTTACATAGAACAAAGCCACGGAATCCTGGCTTTGTTTTGTCCATTATTCATGAAGCAACTTGAACTTTATGTTATATCACAAATTTATGATTCCAAAGAATTGGAGATGGATATGCTCTCATCAAATTTCTGAACTTCATTTTACCAGTTCCCCAAATATTTTTAGGGTATTCTCCATGGTTAATTTTTGTCCTTCACACAGCATTATTAGTTGGAAAAGTCTTCAAAAAAATCAAGCCCTCCCAATCACCTCAAACAGTATAACATTTGTAGCAAGTGTTCTACCATTCCACTCCCCACAGCTACTACTCTGACCACATGCAGGAATAGGTTTTGGACTGTAGCACGTATTTTGCAGCTTAAGTTTGGTTAAGTTTGAGGTTTGGGTGATATTAGTTGTACATATTTACTGTTGTCCAACATATAACAGAAAAGCAAAACCACTAGGACACTGATTTTATAAAGCCACAATAGTATGAAGTAGCCCAACTGGGACTGACCTGGCAATACTGCAAAAAGTATCACACCTCCAGTAACCTATACTATTCGACAGACCCTTTCATCCTCTATAAGAAGTCAGGGAACAAATCATTGCTGATCACTTTAAGAATCAGATGTTATCAGCCCCAATTCCATTTGCTGAAGGAAATGTTTCTAATCTGCTTTTCAAGAATTATTTCACCAGGGAAACTGACTGCCTGCTATTTGATTACCTTACATATTACTCATCCATTTTTAGCCATGTGAATTTTACAGTTTCATTTATCTAGATAACACAACTAACCACTCTTAAAGTAGTGGAAAACAGTAAATGGTACCAGCAGCTATATCTAAGCAGCAGTGAGATCTAAATTCCAATACATTATCAAAGTAAACAGTATAAAACTTCAGCAAGTCTTAAAAGACCTAGACTTATTATCTGGAGGAAGGAGGACAGAGAGAGTAGAAAGGTCAGAGAAAGTCAGTGAGCAAGAAAATGGTTTCAGAGGCATGTTCCCTCTGAAGTGCCAGAAAGTCAGTATGTTAATATAATAGCCTTTCTGCTCAAGTAATGAGCTCAAGGACGATCTTCCTTGGATTCATGATGGCTGTGCAGTCCCCCAGCTTTCTGACACCACCCCCTCCCTTCAGGGTCTGTGTGGTGAGAAGCATTCACAACAAGCTTTTAAAACTAGGTATGTTATGTAAAAATGTCACATATGCACAACAGTACTCTTAGGTGTTCACTGGGGCACTAATTTTCATGCAACTGATAACATAAAATTATTTTTATCAACTGATTTAACAGTATTTTGGTTAATTTCAAATTTGAGGATGAATTATTAGTGCTAAGTTAAAAAAAAACACATTCTGTTAAGCAAAACTTACGTTGTCAATAGCACAGTAATCTATTCTTTTTACTACAGGAAATTAAAAATGCTGTTGATAAAACAAATTTAATAATTAGAATTATCCAGTATTTCTCTGTACCTTATCATCCACATCGTAACTCTTCAGAAGTTCATCTAGTTCTCCCAGTTGCCCATCTTCAAGGAATTCCCCAATAATATCTCCCAAAGGACTGCTTCTGCTGGAGGAGTTGTGGGTTTTAATATCTGTAGCTGAAAATGTATGAACACATTACTTTACATGCTTCCCATGCTAGAAGACAACAAAGCTTCCATTTCCTAGATATTACAAAGCCTTAACACTAATGACATTTAAGAACTCCTAGGACTTCCTAAATGTGAAATATGTATGTAAAATTATTTCACCTTTAAAGCATGAGACATTTTAAGTAAGTATTAAACTAAAATGGCAATTGGAATTCTATCCGAGCTGTATGGTCTGTAATAGCCCCTTGTGAACAGGTGTATTCATATAATACTGAATTCACCATTTTAGAAATAAATTAAAGCACAGCCAAAGATATGTACAGTGATGTGCTAAGCAAATAAAGACAGTCTTTGCTGAAGAAGGAGATAAAGCTAATCATGACATGATGCGACCCGGAACTAGAGACAGCTCTGAGAAACTCCCAATTCCTTTAATACAGTTAAATCAATGAGAACTCCGTGTCAGGAAATGTCAGCACCTTTTGCAGATGCCACAGGAAATGAACAGAACACCTGACTGCAGCTTTCTGAAGCAGCTGGTTGTGTACAACAGAAGAGGTCTGCCTAGAAAAGAAATTCACTGTTTCACTGGATCACGTGAATTTCAGCTGCACTATGTTGTCCAGATACAGGAAGATATAAGCAGATTATTACTGGAAAGGCTTTTATCTTATAGTCACTGGTCTCTGTATGATCATCAGTACAAGACACACCTGCATGAAGACAACATAAGTAAGATTTTCATGTGAAAGATGAAGAGGATCAACGTTATCCAGAATACCTTAACTGTAGCATTTGTTGTCCTCCTGAGACTGTGAAGCCACTGAGATGAGCATCAATGGCTTCACTAGATAACCCAAGAAACCAAAGCAGTAATGGAGTCAGACTCCAAAGCAGTATCACAATACTCAGTGTCTTGCTATCATCTCATCAACCAACAGAATTCCTTGCCTGAAGTATTACAGAGATGTCAAAGAAAACCCAACCTAAAATCCCCAGTACTACCAACAGACAAATACTACAGAGAAATAGATATTCCCTATAAGGCTCAGGTTTGTACCATTTCAAAATACATCCATTTTATATGCAGTCTGAAACAAATCACTGTTACAATACTTTCTTAATTATACATTGAAGTCTCCAAAGACTCTTACCTTTTAGCATGGAATCACAGGAATTTTCAGTATCATTTGACATTCCAGGTTCCTGTATGGTAATGTGTCTGTTTTGAACAAAATGTGTATTTAAAATTTCTGCCTTGCACAAAAGTGGAATCAATCTAACCAGGCACATAAAATTAATGTTCTCAGTAATACTTACATACTTAAAATAGCTGTGGACAGTATCCTTACTTGCAACACACTGTTATAAGACTGTTCTTAACTCTCCCTTTTGGATTGCTTACATCCATCCATGTAGATATACACCCAAATATGTTAAGTAAAATCTAAACATTCCAAATCCCAAAATTTGTCAGTATAAGCTCATTATCTCATTTTACCTTTGCCTGAAATGCTGAGAAGGGAAATCTCTGTATAGAAAATCATGGAAATACTGTGCTAATGAGCCAATTCATCAGCTTCTACAAAATGTGATTTATAGTAATTTATATTCAAGACAATCTTCATAACAATGAATCTTGAAGAGAGTAACAAAAACATTTGTTCATAGAAAGAGACTTCCTTCACCTATTTTAAAGATAAGCTCAGAAAAAAAATATTTCTCCTTAGAAAATCTCAGAAGGCAAGAAAACATATTCAAATATTATGTCTGGAAGATATGAAACAGGGTCATCATCACAGATAGTGGAAGCTCCTAGCTGGTGAATGACAATGACAGCAAACTGCCTAGTAAAATGAAACAATGAAAATTTGCAATAACCTAGTGGAAATGAAAAAGTTCCCCAGTATGCATAACTTGGAACCATACAAACATTCAGGCACAAATACCTATGTATATACACAAGATACAGTAAGAAGCAGAGCACAGTAAGTTACAGCAAGTTTGCAGCGACAAAAGAGGCAGTCTCTGTAGGCTGATTTTCTCCCTGCCCCACTTTTTATGTGAATGCGAAGTTGAGTGATTTTGCCCACCACAACAATTGACTTTATTATCTTTTTTTAAGATTGCAATACAGACAGTTCCAGAAAGCTGTCAGCTTCATAAACATTGCTTAAAATTGAAAATATTTAACAGTGTCTAGGTCAAAAGCCACTTCCAACTCTTTACCAGATTCTGCTAATTGTGTAGTGTGAAATAGTTACAAGAAGCACTTCGTAAGTTCTTGTAAAAAAAGGTGCCTAACACACATACAGAGAACTACGTTTGCTGCAGAACTTGGCATTTGCTCACCAGCCTGACAAATCTAAGAGTGCTGACAGAATCAGAAGAAGTCAACACATTGTAGAGATCTAGAAGGGGAGACAGACTAGACCATGTCAGAATACTCTTGGCATGCTGACAATGTTTAAGTTTAAACAAATCTCTCTTTACAGCACAAGTTACACAAACCACAATGTTTAGCTTGTTATTTTGCATACGAAAAATGCTTTCAGGTTTAGTCTTTTTATTTAAAATGGAAAACAGTAAAGTGCAGAAGTCTCCTAAGGGTTGTGGATGTGCTTTCAAAGGTATTGACTGAACCTACCAGTTCTGTTGGGATGAAAAGACATACTGGATATCAATTGAGAGTTAAATGTCTAGATTCCCTATACGAGAAGAAAGAAATACCTCAGATGATTGATCCAAAACCCTGCACTGTTTGGAGCCACTCAGGGGTAAACAACAAAAAATGGCAAAGGGAAATACGTATGAAAATGGAGTCTCAATGACCCAATCAGGCTGCAGGTCCAGAATCCTTTCCTGATGAGGGGAAACTAATGCCTGAAATGCCAGGCACTCACTTTTCTCTTCTTAAAATGCAATCACCAGAGGAACAAGCAGTCCTACTTACCCTCAAGATCAGGGCATGCTAACTGAATCAAACCATTCAAGACATATACACACAAAGCTTTTCCTGAATCTTACTGGATTAAGAGACAGGATTTGCTTGTACTACTTAAATCTGCTTGTACAGAGATATCAGCTCTGGGCACATGCACAAGCACAACTACAGTAGTTAGGAAACTTCAAGTCAAAGACATGTATAGGAAGGTTAGGTGCCTCTTTGTTTATTTGTTAGCTGGGTGCTTTGTTAGTTTGCCTGAAAAAAAAAGAAAAAAAAAAAGACTTACTCAAATTTTGGACCTCACTGTTGCAACACGTATGTTCTAAAGGACACATGCTCTCATTATCTGAAATCCTGACACCAAAAATTAATATCCTTGAATTTGCAGAACTCAACAGGTCCCCTCCAGCTTTTAAGGTCACAAAGAGTCAAAGATTAAAAGTGTAATTGGCTAAACATGTCTTGGTGTCTAAATAAAAAGCTGAAACAAAATGGATTCACAGTAATACTTACACATATGCAGTGGCTAACAACTGCCACTGAACACTTGTCAGTTACTGAATCAACTGGGTACATCCTTCAGAAAGTTTCAGTGCTTCGGTTTCACAATAAAACTTGAATAATTATTACTTCATTATAGCATCTGTCATTTTGACAAGCTGCTAAAGATCTCAGATTTTTTTGGTTGGAAGAACACCACAAATTAAGGCACCAATTGTTTCCTTTACAATTAAAATTTAAATGCTATTAAACTCACAAGTAACACTCAACACATTTTATAAAGCTTTTTAACAACCGAGCTATACTTCCAGAATAACTTGCTGCTAGCAAAAAAAAAAAGCTCTTACTGCTCTGTACAAATGCCAGACTAAAATATCAGTACACAAAAAATACTGTACTGACATCTATCCCCATGCATACATGCACTTAAAACAGTTTTAGCAAAGATCCAGATTCTCCCTGTCATCATCTGCCTACTCTTATTAATCTGAAGGGAAATAATAACAAAACCTATGTATAGATACAGTTAAAGAAAACATTCAGCAACAACCACCCTCTGCAGCCATTAAGTGCTTGCACTGCTCTTCTACATACAATCACCTACATTACATTCATCTAGAGTGTAATGGCTAACATTAACCAAATGTTAAACAAAAGATGCATATCAACTAATATTTATACAAGTTAGAGATGGGTTTACATTACTGCGATCCTGACTCACTGTTCTAAGTGGCAGATTGAATCTAACATATTGAAGTGGCATTATAAACTCATATGCAACAAAGCAAAATTGAGTACGCATAAAATAAGAAGCTAAAGAAGAAAACATATACAATACTCTAGAATATCTCTAAATGAAAAAAAAAAGGACATTGACATAATTAATAATTTATTTTGAAATATGTAGCATCATGTGAGTGTAACTCTATCAGCCTAATCACTTATTTTGGTTGGCCAAACAAAATTAAATCCCAGTTTTATCTGGTAAATACTGACAAACTAAAACCCAACAGTATGACCTAGCCATTCTTAGTATTATCTACCAATATCATAAGGTACCTGATAAAACTGTGGTGAGGTCTATTGCCTTATTTTAATATTCTCATATTCAGTTATTTAATATGTTCCTCCCAGCTACAAATTACATTTAATCACCATGTAATTATCTTTGCATCACATTATGGAAAGTAAAAAGCCAAAATAACTTTGTTATTTAGCAAATTAAGGGGAAACGCTAAGAAATAAGAACTACGCATTTTTATTTTCTCTGGCTGACGGGAGGCACATTCAGCTGATACCAGGAAGAAATCTGAAATACGACTGAACAAATTCAGTTTTATTCTATATAATGGTTGTGATAATGTCACTCTAACTCAATGTCCTTACAAATGAAAGGGAATATTTGTCCTCCCTACAAAGTACTTACAAGATCAAATAAAATTTTCAGTTAGCATTTATATAAATAGCAAACTTATGGTAGCAAAGGGCTCAGAAGTTCTGGTCATCCATTCTGTGAAAGAGCTCTCTGGATAGTCAGTTGGAAACCATCTATCACTACCTTGAGGTAATACACAGCAAATATTCCGTTGTCTATACAAAATACAATATACACTGCACACAAAATCCATACTCATTAAGAAATTTACTATGATACAGCCTAGCTACTTCTTGAGAGGTTGGGTGCTCCTACTGAAGACTTGTCCTGTTCTTCAGAGGCTTGTTTTGGCAGAAGTTTTATTCTATTAACATCTGAAAGTTTGATATTCTTGTATCTAAAAAACTGTTCAGCACCTCAAAAAAACATTCCTTTCCTCTTATGCACATGGATTTAATGAAGGGGAAAGGACAATGAGAGCAAAACAAAATAATGCAGTTATAAGATGGTACAATGTTGAAAATAATTAAAACATTATTTAAAATAAGGATAACAAAACCAGCCAGAAAGAGCAGAGAAAGAAAATTAAAACACCCCTCCCCCACTAAATTCCTAATCTTCAGAGGAAAATCTTTTACTATTTCTATCTAAGCTTTATGTTTTACTTTGTAAGATGAAAAACATAATCTCACAACTAATTTATCAAACACGAGAATGAAAGCTGAGAGAGAAAACAGACTAGACAGTTGATGAGTTCACCCATCGCATGAAGAACTACTACCTCTTTTGTAAAAGTCTGTTTCTGCTTTAAATTTTTCTTCCCCCTTCAGTGACTTTTATAATTTCAAAACCCAAAAGAACATTAATGCCTAATAATTTACACCAGGAACTTGCTGAATGAAGATGCAGGATCATAAGCAACTATAACATGTTAGCCAAATTACAGATTTGAAAAGTACTTGCATGTCCGGGGATAGGAGAAAAGCAGGGAAGGAGAATGCTGGAATGCAGCACTACTGCAGAGACAACCATTTACTCATAGAGATCCAGCAAAAGAATAAGCTACACTTAGAAAGTAAGAAATATTTCCAAGTATTATACCACAATCAATACTTACAATTAAAAAACTACCATCAAAGGGATAACTGCTATCTCAAATCAAGTCAGGTATTTAAAAACATTATTTATTAAGAACATTAGTCCTAATTAACTTTGTTTATACTTTCCTGTTTCACTCCACTTGGTCTAAACTAATTCTTTGGTACTTCATTTTGCTTTGGTTCAGAATTTATCCTAGTTCTTACATAGAACACACTAATTTATTTGCATTCAAAATATTGTCACACCTCAATAAAGTCTTTAAAATCACCCCAGAAATCAGTGAAAATCTGTAAGGAAGCCTGAACACTCTAATCAAATTATACTAACACAAAGTAGTTAGGATTCTTACAATAAAAGCAATTAAATGCATACCTAAAATTATTATCTACTGAATCTTCATTTTCTGAGATAACAGGACACTCAGGCGCAAGATCCTGCTTTGCATCTTTAATGCAGATGCTAGTATACGATGCGTTCACGGGACAATTTTCACAATCTGCAAGTGCAAGCTCCTCTTCATTATTCGTTCCAAAAAGGTCAGGGTCATCCTGAATCACATCAATGACAAGAACATCTTCTTTGTAAGCTTCAAGAATATCTGGAAAACTTTGACTTTTGTGTTGTGAAAAATTCACTCCTGATTTGCTAGCATCATTTATTTCTAATGCAACAGGGCAGTCAACTGCATTCCAAGAATGATCAGGAAAATTAGATTTTAGTACACATTCAGTACCATGGATATCAGGCACAGATGACTCTAGTTGTCCAGCAAGAAAAGCATGTGGATATAAAGGAGAATGTTCAGGTACCACAGACATCTCATCTGAAAGGTCTTCAGAGCCATCATGCCTAAAGTCCTTACTATTGATAACATCCGCTTTTATCTTCATGGAAGCTGTAGATGTAACATCACTCACAGCAGCAAGAGGCTGCTGCTTGGAACTTACCAAAGTCCCCTCACCCACTTTCTGCCTCCTTGAAATGCTAGTGCTGTCAAGAAGCTCTAGTGGACTGTAGGTTTTTCTTTCAAACGAGTGAGCAGATTCCAGTTTCCTGGGTTGAGATTTGTTTCTGCATAAAGGAATTTTGTATTTTGTCAGGTTTCCAGCGTTTACTGCTTTCCTTAGCTTTAAATCAGAAAATGTCTGGTTCACTACTGATGTTTTATGGCTTAAGTTTAGTCTGTTTTTTTTACCTGTAGATGCACCTCTCTGGACTGCCACAGACAGGTTTCTTTTTTTTACAGCTCCTTTACTTTTATTTTTTTTTGTTGTTGCAAAATTCAAGGTTGGTTTAACTTCTTGAGCCTTCTCATGGTTAAATGCCACAGCATCCCTATCTGTATTAACTAGTGATTCCGTGTTCTCATTACTCCTTCGCAAAGTCTCACAAATATCTATGGAAGAGGATTCTGGTGTTTCAAGTGAAGTCAGGCATTCAGTATTCGGATCCATTATTTTCTGTGTAGATTCTTTGTTAATTTCTGCTAACGATGCATGCAAATCCAGCTGTGGCCAATTCCCAGTTCCAGAACTGTTTCCTACAGCATTAGCACTGCTTTTATTGGAGGATTCCTCAAAGGTAACCCTTAGAAGTCTTTTTCCTTCCGAGATGGACCCACGATTTTTAGGAACCCATTCAGAAGCCCTGGCACAAGATTCAAAAGGCCAAACATTTTTGCCAGTCATAGGCACTGTTCTTCGACAAGTGAACTGCTGCAATTTCTTATTCACTTTATTCAATTTTCCATCTGTCTTGCTTTTGTGACAATTAGAAACGTCATGGATCTGAGCCAGTACTGCCACGCTACCTGAGGCAGCAGAATGATGTGCCACACTGTTTGAATTTTCTCTTTTTGCTATTACAGGGAGCTCAGATGTCTTCTTAAAGCCCTCTTCAAATGCAAGTAATTTGGTGCTATGCTTTCTCCAGACTGACGTATTTTGTGCTTCAGGAATATTTTCTTCTATATGAAGACTTGATGTATGATCACATGAAGCTGCCAGAGTAATTTCTTTATGATTTAGTCCTAAGACTGTAAAGGAGCTTGACATGGCAACTGCTGCTTCTGTTTCTAACTCACACTCGCTGCATTCATTAGCCATGTCTGTGAAAATATTCTGAACTGCTGATTTCTCAGTGATTTTCATCTTTTTTCTAGGATTTCTACCTTTTTTTCCCCTTAAACACTTAGTGTTCTCACTTTGACAGCCTGAAAAACACCCTTCTTCATGTTTGGTTTTTTCTTTATTAAACCGTAAACCACGCTTTATGGGTGAGCTCTCATTTTGCATTCTGCCAGTGCTGCAATTTCTATCACTCTGTTCTACAGTATCACCAGGAAAAACATGCTTTCTTTTATCCTGGGCTATATGGAAGAATTCACTTAATTTATAACTGCTGGCAGTTCCACTAGCTGAAGACTTCACGAACGTATTGATGTAACTACAGGCGTCTAATCTCACAAATGGATTCTTTTCTGCTGCACAGAGAAAACCGTTACAGTGGTCTAGGGTGTTTCTGCCATGTTCAGCATCACATTGTGCAGGTACATTTACCACTTTTTCAGCTGTAGTCACATTAAAACTTTGCAAGCACTCGACTGGGTCAATTCTGGATTTCCTTTTTTTATAACGCACACCAGACTTTTTTGTTACAGGATGGCACAAAAAGCTCTTTATTTTAGTCCCATCTAATGCAGAAACCACAGAAGATTTAGAATGGTAAGGTTCCTTTTCCTTGGAATCTTCCGA